GTAGGACACTGTTCAAATTTTAAAAAAAGAAAGTATTTGTATAGTAGGACCACCCCTGCCATGGCATCCTTGGCTCTCTGCACTAAATGTGACACCCCAGTACCACTGCTCTACTTCTGTTGAGAACCACTGTGTTAGTTAATCTACAAGGACCTATGGGAAATTGTCTTTATTACCAGTCTTCCAGATATTTTAAACTTCCAAAACCAGGGGTAACCTATTTCTTTGTATTCCTCAAGGCTACATTGAACAACAACAACAAAAAAACTTTGCTAGAATTTTAGTAGTTTAGATTTCCCATAAATAAATAAGAAATATTGATAGAACAAACAAAAACTCTTCTATTGGTACATTTTATGCATGGTACTTTCATGTTTGTTTGGTTATATTTTTAGGAATGTATCATTATAGTTTTATATATATCACCATAGTATGAGGAATCATATACAAAGGTCATAGAAGGATCAAAATTAAATTACTTAGTTTCTGATATAGAAATACAATTTAGATTTTTACTGCTTTAACCTGGATAAGCATATTATCTGGACTCAGGTTTCAATATCAGTTCCTCTCCAACTCAGCCTCTCTACTCTTAATAAGAGATAAATCTGTCTAAAATGCTTCTTTCCTAATAGTAACCCTTCTGTGAAATATGCAATGACATCTGACATCTGACTCTTCATTTTTTTTTTCTTTTTCTGGTCTCCAACTTATCTACAATCTAGTATTTACCTAAAATGCTAGCTTTGTCTTCTGCTTCCCACCAAGTATCATTAATTTGTTACTCTAATCTCTTTACTATTCTCTGATTCTCTACTTTTCTACTTTGAGATATTTACTTTTTTCTTATTTCTCCTGCTAAGAATTCCTCTCTGAATACTCTGTTTATTCAAGCCCTATTAAGCCTTTTCCAGCCAAGTATTTCCTCCTTCATGACCATGCAAACATACAGCTATTTCTTTTTTCGCTAAAAGCCCAGATACACTTTTACCAGTAAGTCTCCCATCTTTTTGATTATCAGAATTATGTCTCAGTATTTATGAAAGTATAATTCCTATGTCTGCCACTACAGAGTCTGTGATTCAATAGGTCTGAAATAGGGCACAGAAATCTGTATTAAAAGAAAATAAAATGGCCAGGTGATTACTGACAATCAACAAGTTACAAAAATGATTCAATTGGCACATCAAATTATTTTGCATGAATGGCTTCATTTTAATCACCCAAATTTCTGTGATAGATACATCCATGTTTAATCCATCAAGGTCCCAGTTTACAGAAGGTACCTAAATATTTTCTCATGAATGTGCTGTGAATTACTTGACAAGATTCTATTTGATAATTTATGTTGATATTGTTTTATTATGGTCAAAGAATACACATATTAGAATATACCATAATAAAAATAATAATTCTATTTCATTTTACTGTGGCAAATTAGACTGAAATATAAAATTGTATAGCATATGCCTCTCTGACCTCAAAAAAACAGGTAAGAATAGCCGTTGGATGGAATAACTTTCAGGAACTTCAACAGACCTTTCTTCTTACATCCTGCTGATCTCACAAAATATTTTAACAGGTACAAATATTGTGGGTTCCTTTTTGAAAACTCATTTGTAATCCCAGTTGGAGATGTGATTCTGTATAGCTTTGATATAGGTGAAAATCCACGTGTGCAAATTGTGTTCATGAGAAAAGAACCAAAGTGAAAATGAGTGCTAGTCTTCCAAAGGTTGGATATTTTTAGCCAAATGATAAACACACTGTTTGCAATCATATGAGTTGAATTTAAAAATTTCCCATATTATCATGAGACAGAAAAAGATCAGAGAGAGGCAACAGATTAAAAAAAAAAGAAAAACTGAGGGAGAAAAAAAGGATTACAGGAATGATGAGGTGAAAGGAAGAAGAAAAGAAAAAGAAAAAATTAAGGATCATTAAGGGTTTTCATGGGCAATATCCATCTACATGATGGGGATTTCATCTTGTGACAATTACAGTTTATTCCAACTTGAGGGTCTTTAAATAAAATAATGCAAAATAGTAGGTATGCTGTTGGTTTTGTGAGATATCTTCTAAGTAAGAAGCTTGAAGCTACTTTCTTAAACTTCACCATATATCTGCTTTTGATCATAATGTTTTAAGTTTTTTATTTTTTTTATTTCAGCATATTATAGGGGATACAAATGTTTAGGTTACACATATTGCCTTTGCCCCACCCAAGTCAGCTTCAAGCATGTCCATCCCCGAGATGGTGTGCACTGCAGCCATCAGGTGTGAATATACCCATCTCTTCCTTCCCCTCCTACCTGCCCAACATGTGATGAACGTTACTATTATATGATCATGATTTTGATGTTATTTTGGGCATGGACACCAGAAATTCCTAAAATATGCCTTTGTCTAGCTACCCTTCATACTGTGACTTCCAAGGAAGAGATAATCATGAAATTAAAGATACAGTGAACTCTTAAAAGGACAATGACAAAAGGCAATCAGAATATTTCTTTATTATTGGGAGAACTTGTACCTAAGGCAGCAAAATTGCTCTGACTAATGGAAATGACATACAGATATAAGGCAATGACATAGAAAGGAGAAAGAATGAGTTTGGAGACAATTAATAACAATGTAGATAGTCATTTGATTACCAAATATGCCAATATGGTAACTTCAAGCCACTGAGGCATAATTCTCCCTCTGAAAATTACACTAGCAATGACTTTTGATAATTACCAAAGGATTTATCATTTAAATACTGATGTGTGAGTTGAAGTGAGTTGCTGAGCACCTGCCAAAGCAGGCAAGAAAAGAACCACTTACTGCCAAGACTTGCTTCCTGTGCTTCAGTCACATCTTATGACTGATCTGGCTCTTGTCCCAATACTCAAGCAAGTTTAATTCCCAGCAACACTACATATAAGGTGTGCAGACACAAACTTGGAATGCTAATATAGAAAATCCAATACAGACCTTATAGACTTTATGGAAAAAGCAAAGCTCATGTACAGAACAGACAGTGGCTAAATGTCAACACAGACTTATAAACAGATATGGATTGTGTACAGAGATTCAGGGCAACCCCATTTCTCTAGAATATGGTGAAAAACTTAGATTAAGGTAGAAAAGGTTTTTGAGTGATAGAAAGGACCTTCACTGAATTTATTCACCTTTACAACACAGAACAGACCCTTAAGCTCTTGCTAAGAGCCAATTTATCTGTAATTTACAAATACATTTTAGTCAAATGATTATCAGATTCCCATGCCACAGCATCTAAGAGTAAAGGTTGAAGTAGAGAGGAGCTATTCTAAGAAGACGCAAAAACTATAGAAAATGATAAAATCACATAAATACTCCCAAAATCTGGCAGAATAATATAAAACATAAGAAGCTTGAGTCTATTTAATGAAAATGCTAAAAGTTCTATATACCTCTTGGCTAAGAGCTGTTTTAATAATGAGTGTGCTGACCTTGGATCTCACGAAGAAAAATCTACCTATGTGTGTGTGTGTGTTACAGCTTAATCACAAACAAAAACACATACAGAGAAAGAAATATCTACACAATCATAATGACCCATCCTGAAATTAAAATTGGAGTATTAAATAAATATTAAAAAATACCAAAAGAGATTTTAAAAACATAAGTATTATGTAAAATTTTGTTCTCTAAAAAAGTTTTCAATATGATAGCTTCCAAATGTGTAATAAATTCCTACTGTTCTCTTCTCTGAGAATGACATAGTCCTTCTCTAACTATTCTCCTCCTGTATTGCTTTAAACAATATTATATATTGAACTGTTAGGATGTATTGGATACAATACCACCTTACATAGATTTATTCTCTTACATCTCACAGAAAGTCATAAAGTAGAAATTATTAAAAATCACACTTTATGAGCCCTAATATGAGATAATTTCTTTATTTCTTTACTGAGAACTAATTTAACATCATAGTATAGTGAAAATAGTAGGTTAATTGTAATAAAATCTGGTTCGAGTTTATTTTGCATTCCCTGGCTTTGTCATCTTAACGAAATCACTTGCAAAATAGGAGTTTCAAATAATAAAAACCCACTCATAAAAATAAATAAAATATATTATATGGTAAAATAAACAACATAAAGGAGTTATATTTTTCATTAATTAATATTCTCCCTGTTTTCAAAAAAATCTGAGGTAAGAGAATATGATAAAGAAAGATGAGAAAAAAGAAGGATGGATGGAATGAAGAAAAAAGAAAAGATGTAAAAGAGGGACAATGGTACGTTAAAGAGAGAAGGAAGGGAAGAAAATAAAACCAAGCTGAATAGAAGGAATAGAGATTAAACTGTTGCTACACATGAGAAGGTACGACCTCCTTTTTTCTACATTAATCTCAGACTCCACGTCCCACAGTTCCTAAGCATGGAGGAGACTTGCTAATAAATCCTGATATTTTTTACTCTTTGCTCATGGAGCTTCTGTGTGATAATCAATGTGCAGTAAAACTAAAAGTAGCTGGAGTGAAAAGGGAAGGGAGAGATACATGAGAAAAGCCACAACTGCTGAGTGTTGAGAACATTTTTGTGGAAATTGAGGGTAAGAGATTTAGAAATAGGGAGGCTACAGACCTCTGATAAGAGTTGCATCAGCTAGGGAGGTGGATAGCAAAGGCATTTTTAAGAAGAAATAAGCTTGAAATTATATGCTTTTAATGTACTTTGAGACACAGTTAATATGAGCATTTTAGTTTTCACTGCAGGATTATGCTTTAATTTGATGTCATATTCAATGTGAGAATGTGAATATAAGGGTGAGTGATGTCATCAAGATGGCAGAATAGGAAGTCCCAGGCACTCCTCTCCTCCATGGAGATACTAATTCAACAATACATGGACCAATTCCTTTTGTGAGGAATCCAGAAAACAGTTAAGAAGCTTCTCCAATCCAGATGAACAGAAAACCAGCCACATAAAAGTTGGTAAGAAAATTTATGGCACTCACTCACTCACCGTAGTTCTTCCTCCAATCTTAGAGCAATGGGACTCAGAGGAAACTCCCAGGTCCCAGCTTCTCCCTGGGCAGGAAAAGAGAAGACTAAATCATGTGCCCAATGTTCATACTTTTTTAGCTTCCCCAAAGACTGTTTTTTTTCTTGCCTGAATCTAAGCACTAACAAGACAGGGCACCAGGTTGGGGATTACTGAGAACAAAGGAAACAGTTTGGACCAATTATTCATAGTTCCTCCCACTAGCCCAGCATGGAAGGAGTGAGAGAAATCTTCCAATTCTCAGATGTTCTCAGGAAAGAAAAAAAATTAACATATTGACTGCCTCACTGGAAAAAAAAAAATTTTTTTTTTTTTTGAAAAACAATGTTTTTCCCTTGGGGCCATGTTGTTTTATTGTGAAAATAGAATAAAAACTATAAAAACAAATCAATGCATTACTGGTGAATTCTACCAAACATTAAAGGCAAATTAATACATTCTTTACATTTTAATACACTTTACACTTTAATGTAAAATAATATTACACTTTAATACTCTCTTCACACTCTTCCAAAAAGTTGAAGAAGAGGAAACACTTCCAAACTCATTTTATGAGGCCAGCATTATCAAATTCAGGCAAATACACTGCAAGATTATAAAAGTGAAGTCCAATATTCCTGATAAACATATATGTAAAAATCCTCAAAAAATATAAACAAACTGCACATTAAACCAACAGCACATTAAAAAGATCATCTACCATGATCAGATGGGAGTTATTCCTACAGTTCAAAGACAGTTGAATATATGAAAATTAACCAATGTGATATGCCACAGTAACCAAAAGAAGGACAAAAATTACATAATCTAAATAGATTTGACAGAATTCAACAAATTTTTATGATTAAAACACTCAACACACTAGGAATAGGATACGATTACTCCAATATAAAAAGTCCATATGTGAAAAACCCACAGGTAACCTCATACACAACAGTAAAAGTTGAAAGACTAAAAGCTTTCCCTCTGAGATCCAGAAGAAGGCAAGGTTTCCCACTATCACCACTTCTGTTAAACATAGTCCTAGCTAGAATAATTAGGCAGGAAAAAGAAATAAAACATGTTAAAATTAAAAAGGAAGGTGTACAATTATCTCTGTTGAGAGATCGTATTATTTTATATGTAGTAAACATTAAAGATTTCACAAAACAACTATTAGAATAAACCAATTTAGCAAAGTTGTAGGATATAAAATAAACATAAAAGGTTAGTTACTTTTCTACACACTAAGAGTGAAATATTTGAAAATAAAATTAAGCAAACAATCCCATTTATGATAGCATCAGAAAGAAAAAAATACTTAAGAATAGACTTAACCAAAGAGACAAAATACTTGCACACTGAAATCATCAAACATTGCTGGAAGAAATTAAAGAAAACATAAGTAAAGGGAAAGACATACTATGTTCATGGATTGCAAGATTCGATATTGTTTAAATGTCCATATTATGCAAAGTGATCTACATAGTCAATGCAAAAAATCCTAATGATATTTTCAGAAATAGAAAAAAAAATGATCTTAAAATTCATATGGAACCACAAAGGATCCCACTTAGCCAAAACTATCTTGAGATAAAAGAACAAAGATGGAAATATCATACTTCCTGACTTCAAAACATATTACAAAGCCATAGTAATCAAAACAGTATGGTAATAGCATAAAGACAGACATATACCAATGAAAGAGAATAGAGAGTCCAGAAATAAACCCGTGCATATCCAGTTAAATGATTTTCACCATGGTTAACCAAGACTACACAATGGGTAAAGTATAGTCACCTGGACAAATAGCATTGGAAATACTGAATATTTGTATAGAAACTAATGAGATTGAATTATTAACACCATACACAAAAATCAACTCAAAATAGATTAAAGACTTAAGTGTAAGACCTGAAACTGTAAAACTCGTAGGAAAAAAAAACAGGGGAAAGCTTTACAGCATTGATCTTGGCAATGATGTTTTGGATACAATACAGAAAGCACAATCAATGAAAGCATATATAGAAAAATGGGACTATATAAAACTGAAAAGCTTCTAAACAGAAAAGGAAATAATCAAAAGTTAAAAGACAATCAATAATATGGGAGGAAATATTTGCAAACAATGTATCTGATAAGTGGTTAATATTCAAAATATATAAAAAATAACTCCCACAACTTGATAGCAAGAAAGCAAACAACCCAAATAAAAAATGGGCAAAGGACTTGAATAGACATTTCTTAAAAGAAAACATACAGGCCAGGTATGGCGGCTCATTTCTGTAATCCTAGCAATTTGAGAAGTTGGTCCTCTGATCATGTCAAGCCAGGAGTTTGAGATCAGCCTGGGAAACATGGTAAGACCCCGTCTCTATAAAAAATGAAAAAATTAGCCAGGTATGGCGGCACACTTCTATAGTCCTAGCTACTTGGGAGGCTGATGCATGAGGATTTTTTGAGCCAGGACTTGGAGGAGGGTTCAGTGAACTATGATCATGTCACTGCACTCCAGCCTGGATGAGAGAGTAAGACCTATCTTTAACGATGACGAAGAAGAAGAAAGAAGAAAGAAGAAAGAAGAAAGAAGAAAGAAGAAAGAAGAAAGAAGGAAGAAGAAGAAGAAGAAGAAGAAGAAGAAATACAAATGGCTAATAGATGTGTGTGAAAAGATGTTCAACATCACTGAACATCAGAGATATGCAAATCAAAATCACAAGGAACTACCACCTCATACTTGTTGGAATAGCCATTATCAAAATAATAATGAAAAAAAGTAAAACAAGAAAACAAAAAATAACAAGTACTGGAGAGGATGTGGGGAAAAGGAGTCCTTTTACACTTTGGTGGGAATATGAAATCATGCAACCACTAGGTAAAACAGTCTGAAATTTCCTCAAAAAATTAAATATAGAACTATGATATGACTCAGCAATCCCATTTATGGATATTTATCAAAAATATTTGAAGTCAGCATCTCAAAGAGATATTTTGAGTCCTACATTTATCACAGACTTATTCCCAATATCCACTAGGTAAGAAACTTAAATGTCCATTAAGCATGAATGGATAAAGAAATAGTGGCATATAAATACAATGGAATATTATATAGCCTTAAAAAGAGGAAAATCTTGCCAGCTGCTATTACACAAATGAATCTTGAGGACATCATGCTAAGTGAAATAAGCCAGTCGCAGAAGGACAAATACCACATGATTCCATTTTTGTGAGGTATGTAAAGTAGTTGAACTCATAGAAGCAGAAAGTAGAATGGTGGTTACTAGGAGCTGTAAATAAAGGGTAAATGAGGAGGTGCTGTTCAACAGGTATAGAGTTTCAATCAAACAAGATGAAAAAGTTCTAGATATCTTCAGTGTAACAATGTGCCTATAGTTAACAATACCATACTGTACACTTAAACATTTAAGAGGGTAGAATTCATATTACATGTTTTCACCACAATTTTAAAAACATTAATTGAAATTTGTACTCAAAAATATAATTCAATATATACATAGTAAAAATATATATATATTATGAATACAAGAATGTAAAACATGAGTTTTTTTTAAGGATTAGCTGTCTTCATACAAATAAATCATATGCATGTACACACAGACAACTACAACACACATTTTAACCCTTTTATCATCTTGCTGCTCTTTTAAAAGTTTTTTTGAGTCTATCTTCTTAAAGTATGGAATCTAAAATAAATTTAAAACAGGCATATCTCAGAGATATTACAGGTTCAGTTGCAGACCACCACAAAAAAGCAAATGTTCCAATTAAGGGAGTTTCACAAATGTTTTGGTTTCCCAATGCATATAAAAGTTATATTTACACTACACAACAGTCTCTTAAGTGTGCAATAGCATTATGGCTAAAAATTGTACATACCTTAATTAAAAAACCTTCTACCAGCAAAAAGATTACAACTTGTCAAAGGCTAACAATCATCTGAGCCTTTGGCAAGTTGTAATCTTTTTGCTGGTGGAAGGTCTTGCCTGGATGTTGATGGCTGCTCACTGATGGGGTGGTGATTGCTGAAGGTTGAAGAGCCAGTGGTAATTTCTTAAAATAGGACAATGAATGTTGCCATATTGAATGACTCTTCCTTTTGCAGAAGACTTCTCTGTAGCCTGTGATGCTATTTGGTAGCATTTTACCCACAGTAGAACTTCTTACAAAATTGTAGTGAAGTTTCTCAAACCCTGAAGCTGCTTTATCAACTAAGTTTATGTAATATTCTAAATCCTTTGTTGTCCTTTCAACAATGTTTACAGCATCTTCACTAGGAGTAGATTACATCTCAAGAAACTACTTTCTCTCAACATCTATAAAAAGTGACTCCTTATCCATTTAAGTTTTATCATGAGATTGCAGAAACTCAGTCACATCTTCAGACTCTGCTTCTAATTCTAATTCTCTTGTTATTTCCACCACATCTGCAGTTACTTCTTCCACTGCAGTCTTGAAGCCTTCAAAGTCATCCCTGAGAGTTGGAATCAAGTTCTTCTTAGAATATTAATATTGATATTAGAATATTAATGCTTTACCTCCTCCCATGAATCCCAAATTTTCTTAATGGTGTATAGAATGCTGAATCCTTTCCAGAAGGTTTCTAATTTACTTTGGTGAGATCCATCAGAAGAATCACTATCTATGGCAGCTATAGTCTTATGAAATCTATTCCTTACATAATAAGACTTGAAAGTTGAAATGACTTCTTGATCCATGGGCTGCAGAATGGATGCTGTGTTAGCAGGCATGAAAACAATATTAATCTCATTGTATCAGAGCTCTTTGTCGGCTAGGGGCATTGTAAATAAGCAGTGATATATTTTTTTGTAGTTTTCTTCCCCTTTTATTTCATCATATTATGGGGGTACAAATAATGTTAGGGTTACTTATATTGCACCTGCCACCCCTCCCCCCCTTGATATGCCAGAGATTCAAGCATGTCCAATCCCCAGGTGGTGCGCAACGCACACATTATGTAAGTATACGCCCTTCTCCTCCTCTCCCCTCCTGCCTACCCACCACCCGA